ACCAGCTCCTGCGATCAGCAACCTTTGAAACTGATTTTCCCTCGACAATGGATATATTTGCCTCTGACACCCCATTCCTCATGGTTTCTGACGGATCCGGCAAAGATGGTTGCATGTCCTTTGGCTGGTCCCTCGCCGCAACAGCTGGGGATAGGATTGCCCATGCCAATGGCCCATGCTTTGGTATAGAAAGTTCTCTTCGAGCTGAGGCTACAGGCTTCCTATCAGCAAGTATCTTTATCACCATGCTAATTTCACACTTACACAACCGCAACCCCGAGGATGGTACCGATGATGACAGTTCCGCAGATTCATCATCCTCTTCTTCTACTCCATGCCCTACACAGGTTACCTTGGTTAGTGATAGCAAAGCACTCATTCTTCGCCTCCAATCTAGATGTGAATACACCGAAGTATACGCCAATGCTACCCTAGCTCCAGAATTCGACTTGATTGAACAGATTTTTCAGACCCTTCAGATTCCTTTCCTCACATACTCCTTCTCTTGGGTGAAAGGCCATCAGGATGACAACACCGACTTTGATTGCCTCCCTCTGACAGCCCCACTGAATGTTGAAGCCGACAGTTACGCTGGAGATTATTAAGCCCAGATGACTACGCCAATTCTTCTTACACCAGTGCTACCTTCTTGCCCCGCAGTTCTCCAGATCCAGTCTTGCTCCGTGACTAGCCAATATAAGAGAGCACTTACAGATTCTTGTTTAATCCCCCGATACCATACATATCTGAGAGAGAAGAACCAGTGGACTCAACACGTTATTGCTGATATTGCCTGGAATGTCTCTGAGCATTGCTATCCACCGTATCTCCAGGGACGTATTTGATCACTAAATGTTGCAACAATATTTTGCCTACCGCCACTGTTCTTAAACGATGGAAATACCAACAGCAGGATACCTGTTTTCTTTGCCAGTTGCCTGAAGACTCCGAACATCTCTTTCGCTGCTCCCACCCTACACGTATCAGCTGGTGGAGACAATCCATAACTTCTCTCTGACAACGCATGTCCACACTTGGCTTCCAACCGATTGTCATTGACACCCTTGCTACTTGTCTTACTGAATGGTTCGACACTGGCTCTGTTTCTCCTGAGAAATATCCTAAGTCCCTTCATCCTGTTATTCATTTTCAGAGTGAGATTGGTTGGCACCATATGTTTGCTGGTCACATTTTGCTCCAGTGGTTTACCGATCTTGATCTTCATTCCGGTTCTTACTCCCCGCTGGTATTGGGGGGTTACCTCGCGGAGTTCTTTCTTACCTCTTACATATCTTTATGGGAACAGCGAAATAAGGATCTTTTGGTCATACGCTTTCACAGCAACAACAACAGTATCGGAAGCGTGTGGTGACGAAAGTTCGAACCTTGTTTGCGCTAAAATCTCAAACCTGTCCATCTCATGTACATTTATTTCCTGACGATATGGAAGCATTCCTATCGCAAACCCCTACCTCCATGCTATCCTACTATCATCAAGCCTACGAGAAACCAATTCTGGCGAGTGTCACCCAAGCTATGCGTGCTTCGGTCTCCAACACCCGCCCCATTACACAGTATTTTCAACCATTGCTTCATAGTACACAACCACCGGCAAGTGTCACCCAAGACGGACTGGTCTTTGATGCATACTCCAAGAAGCGAAGACACAAATCCCCTGTGTCATTACCGACTTCTTCAATCTCTAACACAATCACCCGTACCACACAAACTACTATGACCCAATACTTCACCTAACATTGTCCTTTGAGTCCAGTCCTGGGCCTTCAACGGCCTATCAGAGTACATACAACTTGATCGCGCCTCCATAACAACTCCTCGGAGGGATGTGCCGCCCCTCGGAGCAGCTAGAAGCATTCTTTCTCACGACAGCAATGGTTCTGGCCTTCCTAGTGCCTCTTCTAGTTCACGAGGTTAAATATAATATTAAGTTTTTTTTGTTGTTGTTGCTTGCGTCTGAATTTCCTGGGTTTCTTTGACTTCCTCCGTGATTGTTGTTATTATTATTATTGCTTCGGTTGTAACCATTTTTATTGAACCGACACTCCCCCCAAAGATGTTGTCCCTTGTGTTTCCTACAAGGCATTGCATTGATTCTATTTTGTCTTTCTTCCGGGGTCTCATTTTGTCTGTTGTTTCTGTCGGTGCTGTTGTTGTTGCTGTTGTTGCTGTTGTTGCCTCGTCTCGTATTAATGTCGGCAGTATCATCTGCTGGTCTTTTCCTTGTTTGTTTTCTGTCCTCATTGTCATCAGCAAGTCCCTTTTGCTCTGTCATGAATTTGGTTATACCTGTTTGTGTATCTTCGAGGATATCTTTGCCACAGCTAATGTATTTATCTTGCCAAGCCTTAGGGAAGGAATTGAAGAGGATCTCCTTGATTTCTCGYTCAGATAAGGGACCCTTGATACCATGAAGAATGTTGGCTCTGTTACAACAAACAACGACCTTCTCAGCATGTTCCTGACATGTGACATCGTGTGGTTTCTTTACTGCCTCTGATTCTAAGTACGCAATCACCTCATCTCTTGATCTCTTTGATGGTGCATAAAATTCTCTAAACGAGACAGGGGTTTGTTTCCACTGCTCTTTGGTGTCTCTCCCAATTTGCAATCTGTCTGGACCTTTCCACATGTTGTTCCAATTCTGCCTTGGTTGGTGGGCCAATACCATTACCCACTTCTTGTCTATCTGCCCATCTGCTATTTCCAAATCATCTATTGCATCTTCAAATCCTTCTTGTACATAGAATAGTTTCTGAGCTCCATATTTTCCAGGGAAGACTGGACAGGTTCTTTTCAGTCTTGCGGCCGGGATTTGGAATGTTCTTAGGTTGGATCCTCTGCTGGAGGTCTCTGTCCTTGCCGGATGGTCCACAAAGAGGTTGATTTGCTTGATGTCACTCTCCTTGAATATATCGTTGAGGGTGAGGCAAGATCAAGCGGAGTTGAAGGATTTCACCATGGTCGATGTGGTATTTTGGTTGATTTTCTTAAGGGTTGATTAATTTCGATAGACAATTGCCAATGTTCTATGAGCGACCCTTCACACAAGCAAGTCATTTGAAGAAGCTGAATTTGATAAAGATCAGATTATTGACAATGCTCTTGCCTCTACAGTGCATGCTACTAGGTGTGCAGTGAATGCAGCAGTGAAAACATCACCAGGAGCTTTAGTCTACAACAGAGATATGGTGATGGACATCCCTCTCATAGCAGATTTGAATCTTGTCAGAGACAAAAGACAACACCAAATCGATGAGAATCTTAGGAGAGAAAATGCTCGGAGGATACCCTTCAAATATCAGGTCAGACAACAAGCTTACATGAGACATTATGAACCAGATAAGCTGTCCCAAAGATTACATGGTCCCTATCCTATAGTGGAAATTAACACTAATGGGACTGTGGTGTTGCAAAGAAGTGACAACGTACGTGAGACTGTCAATATCAGAAAGCTTGTTCCTCACAAAGGAACTAATGCAGATGCMACTCCTGAAAACCCAGCAGCAGAGGAGGAACCCCCTGTTGAAAATATTGAAGATATGATTGCTACAGTTTAATAGTGAGTAATATTGAAAGCAATATTACTGTCGGGAATAATGCAACGTACGTACTATAAGGGAAGCATACGTACGTACTATAAAGGAGACATACGTACACACGATGCTCCCTCGGAATGGATGGACATACCATTCCTACATACCTTCAGTAAGGTACTGTTTATATATATATGTATTATACAATCCTAGTGTTGAGGATTGTAAGAGGTCTAAGATACCATTCGAGAATACCTCACGAAGAACAGAGATGTCACAAGTCCGGAATAGAAGAACCTCCAAGTAGATTCCCTACCAGGTCTACATTAGGATCTAATCAGAACTTTGGAATTCTCGTGAACGCGCTTGGTAATCTTCAAATAATTCTAATCTTATAATTCAATTTTTATACACACTTGAAAAGTCCTACTAAGAGTACACGTATTTCGTGCAACTAGGGCTGACACCCCACCTTCCCACAGAGACAATGAACACAATGGGCCTACCACCAAACAAGTAGGTGTTCCAATGGAGAAAAACCAGTTGCAAAACAGTAATGGGTCAACAGCGTCAAAGACGCCCCCTCAAAACCCCAAGACCATTACACATTTCCCTACTCCTAGATCTAATCACATTAGTCAAATCCTAATTTCAGCAAACACTACAAAAGGTCAAATAACTGACCACTTAGATCTGTAGAATCCTAGACCCCAGGAGTACAACCATACAGTACCATAGTACCAAGAGGCCCAGAAGGTCCCGTAGCACCAGTCCAGCAAGAGCAGTACGGAAGAAGGAAAGACAAGGCTACAATAACTCAGGCTAAGAGCAGTTAGGAACAACTACACTTAGCTGGAGAGCACTTGCGCGCTCGCACGGCCGTATTCAATTGTTACGAAACTCGTAGTATTCACAGAGCAGCGCAACGACAGGCAGTTCCGTACGGATAGAAACGACCACCTACTGTAGTACGAACGACGAAGCGAAAAAAGCCAAGCAATCTATTCTGAAAAGCTAAAAGCTCTTACCCGACGATGGTTCATGTCGCCGAAGACCATGGATTTAATTCTTCCATGGAAAATACCGACAACGACGAAGCGAAAAAAGCCAAGCAATCTATTCTGAAAAGCTAAAAGCTCTTACCCGACGATGGTTCATGTCGCCGAAGACCATGGAWTTAATTCTTCCATGGAAAATACCGACTACGACGATCCCGTGCATCGTTTGGTAGGCGCAATTGTGAGTGGTGCCGATGACGGAAACAATGAGCACGTAATAGCCCTTGCCAAGCGAGTGTTGTCCAGCCAGATTGGAACGAACTCCAACGACGATCCCCACCATGGCGGCGCCAATGTGGATTTGTCATCCACTTGGAGACGAATTTCGAGAAAGGCTCGCCATCCGGGTGCCAGGGAAGAAATCGAAAATTTGTATCTCCGCTACAACAAAGAGTCGTGCGCGAACGGAAATCCCGATCTTCCACCAAAAGTTCTCATGACGCTGACAAAACTGATTGGAAAGCGATTACCAATGGTGAAGAATCCTCTTGTATCCACAGCATCCACAACACTGATGGTGGAAAAACAAGTTCCAACGCGGTTGGAATCTCAGGAAAGGCAACATGTTAAATTAGCACCCAAAGAAAATATTATGAAAGAAATGGCACAATCTCCCGTAATAAAAAGTGCAGATGAGATGTACATCCATCGGCAACCACAGGAACATCAATCTATGTCACAGTCACGAACGCAATCAATGCAGTCAGAGGCATGTGAAAGTTCTCCTAGAGTTCTACGGCAATCGACACGCCAAAATGCGCACCCCAAACAGCTTCAACGGCCACAAACACAGCCATTGCAGTCAGATACGTATGAAAGTTCCCCTCAAGTACAACAATCAAAGTGTCAAAACACCCTTAAAAAAAAAGAATTGCAACGAGAAGAAGGAAAACTATTGAGAGAATGCCTGTATTCGCTCCAGGGAATTGAGGGAGAACGGGTCCGATACTATTGCAGAGAACCCCGGGATTACAGTATCCCCGATGTTAGTAACTGCGAAGGTATTCGCATCCAGTCTAGCGCTCTATCACAAAACATTCTGTACGCGGGGCAAATTTCTGAGACAAGATTGGGAAGTGGGGCTATGGATGCCCTAAAAGTGTGCGGCGAAGCTGGGTGGCTTTACACTCAGATCACTTCCTACATTCATCGAGTCCAACAGGACCGAACCAAAGGAGTTGTGGCACGGGCATTTGCTGAGACACTGACTGAGCAACTGAGGGACTACCATTCGCTCTTGACTACTTACGAGACTAAACTTCCAGGATTTACTTTACGACAGATGTTGGTAGAGCTTCGGGGACCAATTTTTCGACTGAAAGCACTGGCGATGCTTGTGGACGGAATGAAAGAGCTCACGGGGGGTCACCTTCTGAGTGCTTTGCACAAGCACAGCATCCATGGCAACACCATTCACGTCGATATAGTCCAATCGATTCTCCGCAAGGTGTCGCGGCCATGGTTTGAAATTTTGTACGCATGGACCACAAAAGGGATTTTGTCTGATCCATGGAATGAGTTCTTTGTGGTTGAGAATAAGGACGCGGAGGATAGATATTTGTGGAACAAAAAGTACAGCGTCAACTGGGACAAAGTCCCAAAAGGGATTTTGGCACAAGAATATGTGAAACCTTCTTTCAATGTCGGAAAAGGAATTAATTTCATCAGGCGTTGTTTGTTAGATGGCCAATGGACCATGCAACTTCGAAGCGGCATTACGCACCTCCCTACTTCTATTGCTCCTGAAAAGGGGAATAAAATCGGAGATACTTTGGGATATAGGTATGAATCGAACGAATACGGGAAAGAAGAGAATCCTGTTTTGAAGAAGACTTTGACGGCTGCTACGGGATCGGTTCATAGCCACATCCTTCGTGCTGTTAAGGAAGAGAACCATTTAATGGAGCATTTGTTTGCCTTGAAGCAGTTTTTGCTTCTGGGTCAAGGCGATTTCTATTCTACACTCATGGATGGATTGTATAATGAATTCAACCAAAACAGAGTTCAATTTTCTGGTGGAATTTACAAGCATTCACTGTTGGTGATAGTCGACGGAGCCTTAAGAAGTTCAAATGCCAAATATATGCCACCATATATAGTCGAACGACTGGAAGTTAAGCTGATTATTGATCCCGGGGAGGAAATGCACGACGTTTTGATGGGACCCGCAGGATTAGGTGGTGGCAACACATCAGAAGATCGGCGGACAATTTATGACATGTTTGTTTTTGATTACCACGCGCCGGATCCAGTCTTACCCATTGTTCACTCAGTTGCGATGGATCAATACAAGACTCTGTTTGCCTTGCTGTTTCGATTGAGAAGAATTGAATATGTTCTGAATTTTACATGGCGTCAAAGCGCAACACTTTCACACGCTCTCCAGAATTCAGCTCAGTACATCGGCATCGATACAGCTTCAAGTGAAGGATATTATCGGGCCACATTCCTTCTGAGAAAAATTTCGATCGTCCGACAGTCGATGACACATTTGATTGTCAATCTTAAGAGTTACCTCATGTTTGAAGTAATCGAAGGTGATTGGCAAAGGCTCGAATCGGCAATTCATGACGCATCGACGCTAGATGAGGCCATTGAAGCCCACGACAGTTACCTCGCCAATATCATAGACAAGGCCATGGTTAGAGTATCTGATTGCAGAGAATCCTCACGGCAGTTGGCAAAGCAAGTACATATCGTCTTGACGATTATCAGTGAATTCTGCGATTTGCAAGAAAATCTTTTCAACCAATCCCTAGAGGAAGCAGAAATCACTGCTCAAAAGCGAATTCAGGCTGAAAATCGCTTGAAGCAAGGCCAGTGGGGATTCAACTCACAAAAAGACATCGAGGAACAAGAATCCTTCTTTGGCCTCGCTAAGTCTTCTGTCATCGATTTAGTATCAAGAATCTCCAAGAATTATAATTATCAAGCAATGGGACTACTGAAAGCTTTGAGCGAGAGAGTTGACGGAGATCGAAGTGACTCGACTGCAAAGAATGGTTCTTATTGGGAAAATGACGACCTTCATCCTCAGCGATTTCTCGTAGCTCAACTGGATCACAATAATTTCTATACAAATCAAGGGGCATGGCAATGAACATATGTATTTGCTTTTTAAATTTATTGAGTAAATCCAGTTCATTCACAAATTCGAGACGTCCAATGCACGAAATACTTGTACTCTTAGTAAGTGTTTAAGTGTGTATGAAAATAAAATTATATTACGCGTTTCGTAACAATTGAAACTGGCCTCGAAAGAGAGCAAAAAGTAATATTTGTTATTATATCGCTGAAGGACCAGGACCAAATACTTTTCTACGGGTATGGTAGTACCATTTGGTCCTGGACCATACCACCTTAAATAACACACCAAAGAGACGCATTTTCTTATTGGTGTGACGCACCATGTGACACATGTAAAAATCACGTGCGCAATAAGCAGTTAGTGTAGTGTTGATATAACAGGTGAATACACTGTAATATACACTAGGAACTTAGCTAAGATAAAATGTAAAAATCACGTGTGCAATAAGCAGTTAGTGTAGTGTTGATATAACAGGTGAATACACTGTAATATACACTAGGAACTTAGCTAAGATAAAGATCATCATGGTATGAGGGCATGATAGGGTGTTTTAGATGTTAATAAAAAGAATAATAAGTGTGATCAAACAGCTGCTTGCTGTTTGCTGTATTTTCGATCGACTCGGCGATAAGATCGGTGCGTGACATTCGTATGAGTCGTACGATTGGATCCAAAGATACGATTCAACCTAAGATTCAACCTTAACCCTAATCATTGAATCATACGGAGATACGATTCAATCTTGGGATACGGTTTAACTCTAACCCGAACCTTAATTGTGATACTYGTACRATTCATTCATTCGCATCGTACGAGTGATTCGGTGTGAGTGACTCAACTCAATCCACGAGTGATTTTCACAGTCCCCGTAAGACCTATTCAGTTTAGTCAAATAAGATCAAACGAATCGGACTTACAAAATCAATCAAGTGAGTCAACCAATCAATAATCAAGTGAGTCAACCAAGTGATACGGGTCAGTCTTGAGGTTTTCGCTCGCACCAAAGATACTTAACACGGTCTTTCGCGTTTCATCGAGCATAAGTAATTCCTGCACAGTTTCACCTGCACAGTCTCCGGTATGATACATACCCTTAAATAATATCAGAGGCCCGGCTATATGATACGGKGCGGACCCTTTTGATCCTCACTGTGTGGCCTTTTGCCACTTAACAGTGTATTGTATCAGCCTATTTTCAGAATGGGTACATACATCTCCTGCAATGTTCTTTG